ACTTATTACAGCAAAATTACTGCCATTATTGTTCCTCAGAATACTCCCCTCCCACTTTGAGCACATTTGTCCTATCATTCTTCCCACTTTCAGAACAGTTCTGGAAGTTCTCTTTTGGGAAAGTTTTTTGTTCACCACTGTCATGGCTGCCTTGATGTCCTGAATTAATTAAAAATGTTTCTCTTTCATGGTTATTTTGACTTGGGGAAGAGTTAGAAGTTGTAAGATGCCAGATCTGGTTGATGAGGACACCATAATGTCTTGTTTTGTTTTGTATTGGGGATTGAACTCAGGACCTTGTGCTTGCCAGGCAGGAATTGTGCCACTGAGCTAAATCCCTGGCCCAACCATAATGTTTTTATGAGCCTATCTTTTGGTTGAATGGCAGTCAGCATCAGCATTCACCATAATTTTGATACACTTTGTAAAGACATGAAAGAAAACTTCTAGAACTGCTTCAGAAAGTGGCAAGAATGATGGGCTAAATTGAAAGCCCATCATTGCTTTGAAAGCAAAGGCGGTGGGTATTTTGCAGGGGATTAATAGCAATGTGTTTTTCCTCTAATACATTTTTTAAAATTTAAATTTTGATTGTATCTTTTGGTCATATATTCTGCACTGTTTGCATAAAACTTTCCATAGTTGCTTATCAAGTTTATTTGTTCTGTAGTACACACTACGTTTAATGCTTATTAATTGATTTTCTGTTTGGATGATTTGTCCATTGTTAAAAGTGTGGTGTTAGTGTCCTCAGCTATTATATTCATTTTTTTTTTATCCACTAGTATTTCCTTTATATATTTTAGTGATGCAGTATTGGATGCATACATACTTATTCTATCTTCTTTATCCTTTGTCATTATATAATGTCTTCCTTTGTTTCTTTTCAGAGATTTTGACTTAAAGTCTATTTTAGCTGATTAAGTACAGCTAGTCCTTGGTTTGGGTTTCTGTTTGCATGGAATATCTTTTTCCATTTGTTTAATTTCAGTCTGTATGTGTCTATTTTAATTACTTTCTCATCACAGAAATAATATCCAACACCACCACTTAAAGGAGTAAACATTTATTTTGACTCATAGTTTGTAGAAGTTTCAGGGAGGTTGGCAGAGGAGAAAGAGCTCATGTCATGGTAGGCAGGATGTGGAGCTGAGGGATGAAGAGAAGAGGAAGGGACATAGACCCTTCTGGGCCATACTCCCAATGACGCACTTTCACCAGCCAGGCTTTACCCCCCCCCCAAATAACATTTAGCTATAAATTCATCGGTGGACTAATCCATTGGTAATAGTAAGCTCTTATGATTCAGTCACCTCCTCAAGCGTGAGGAGACCTCCAGATATAAACCATAACAGAGTCATCTAGTTTTTTTTTTAATCCATTTGTATAGTCTGTTGTCTTTTGGTTGGGGATTTTAATCTGCATTTTACAGTTAGTAAGTAAAAACTTGATCCTGCCGTTGTTTTAGTTGTTTTCTGATTATTTTAATCTTTGTTTTTTCCTGCCTCTTATTGTTTATATTGTAGTATGATGTTTTTTCTGTAGTTATAAACTTTTATTTTTTCCCTTTTTCATTCCTGTGTTTTATCAATTAATTTATTTCACATATTTTCATTATGATAGTTATGGTTCTTTCACTTCATTATTTCTTGTAAGGCTGGTCAAGTGGTGATAATTGCCTCAGCTTTTATTTGGGAAAAGCTTTACTTCCTATTTGAAGGATAATGTTGCTGACTCTGGGAATTGGGAGAGGAGATCAATGTGATTCCCTTTTCTGAAGCAAATCAGTCATAGACACTTCCCCCAATAGTTCTCCAGATTTTATTTAAAGACACTGAGGACTATAGAACTTTTCTGTAGTTAACAACTACTAGTCCTTTACAATAATATCAGCCTGCTATTTCCTGGCATTGGAGAGCTACCCCTGACCTAGGCTGTGGGTGTCACAATTGTAGCATGTTTTGTTTCTTTCTTTGTGCTGCCATCCCCAGGTCTATGGCCCTTCTAGAATTCTTGCCCCTGCCTTGCTGAGTTCTAATGTTCTCCCTCAGGCACTTCCCTTGAAATGTAGGCATTCATTTGTTGCCTTAATTTTTCTTGTTGAAGTAGATGAGCATCGAGCATCAAACATCTTGGATCTTCCTCCATCCTCTTTCCAAATACTCTTTTAAACTTGTTTATTAAGCAAAAACAATACTTTAAAGGGCAGTCATATTTCTGAGAGTATTGGTTGGTAGTTGTCTGTATTACAGTTTCAGCCTACCTTGTGGATTATACAGAAAATTGGACTTTTTGAAATGCAAAAGAGTTCTTTCAGATGATTCTGGTGTTTTTCTATATGGCATCTGAGTTTATTGCTATTTTACTGTCTTGCTTTTCTTCCCATTCTTTCTAGTTCTTCTTTGCTGTATGTGTTTGTTATGTATTTGACATTACTCATCTATTTATCTTTATTCTCTTTTTGTATTTGTGCTAGAAATTTAATTCATTCTAGTGACTTCCTCAGTCTACTTATACATAGTCTGATATCCCTGAATCCTGAATCATTTTTAGCTGCAAAACCAGTAAGCATCAAACATCTACTTTTAGATATCTCAGAAGTATATTAAAATTAGTATTTTTCAGAAGTAAATTTGTAAAACTTGATGGATTTCTGTAGTTTATCCACATTTATTCTTGCTAACGCCAGAAACCCAGATAGAACATGATACTCTTTTTTTCTGTCTCCCCTGTATTTAGTAGTTCTTAGTGTTCACTGAAAGTGTGAATAAACATTATTGCATTAAATTTGAGTTTTCTTAAAAAGTAAATATTAGCTTGGGAATTTATCTGGTCATTTGAGCTGATCAACTGTTAGATGCTGAGTTATACATTGGTTTTCAAAGGAAAAATTCCAGATAAGAAACCAGTTCAGTTCTCAGCTTTTTAAGTATGTGAGTTGGACTTATTGGACTCAAATTACCTCTTTCCCCTTGCCTTTTCCTCTTTCCCATCTAATGATCTTATCCTTCTATGCAAGGACAGAATGTCAGGTGTGTTTTAATGGCAGATAAGATCAAAGGACGAAATACGTTAGAAAATTTGAGGGAAAGTTTCTATAGCTTGTGGTGACAGGTTCTATACTACAGCAATAATAGTAAAGTGGATTGTGATCTTGGTATTGTACATTTCAAAAAATTACAATCTGTTACTTTAAAAAATTTGAGAGGACTCTTAAATTTTACTTTTGTAACAAAAAAACTATGGGTAGGAAATTCATAAATTGGGAATCTACTTTTTTCACTATACTTTTGCTAGATAAAATATTACAGCTGGCTGACAATGAAGGACCAAAAGACAACTTTGCCGGGCTGTGGTGAGGTAGTATGAGGGATTGAACCTAGGGCCTTGCTAATTAGAGTGCTAATTAAGCACTCTACCTACCACTGAGCTACCTTCACTTTATTTATTTATTTTATTTTAAAAATTTATTTATTTATTTTGGTACCGGGGGTTAAACTGGAGTCTTTGCAAGGCAGGCCACCAAATACCTTCACTTTAAAGACAAATTTGAAAAAGCAAGATATCTGCAGTTTGGATAAAAATTTTAAAAAGTGAATATCCTGATAATACTTCTTCAAAACACTAATACAAACTCTTGGTCTGTATCTCTGAAATTTTCATTGGCATTTAATGTAGTACTACTGTCACATTCAGAAAGAGTATTATCATACCTTCTCAAAAATGACTGATAAAGCTTACTTTTTCATCAATAAAATTAGATTTAAAAACTAAATTTTACTTCCAGTATCTAGGTAATACAAATTCAGAAACTTGAATAAAAATAACTTTAAAAATTTTATTTATTATTATAGATTTCTTTAAGTTATTTATGGAACAAAAATAAATCTGATTAACATTAACACAACATTTTAAGTCTCATAAATATTTTTGATTTTCTTCAACTCTTACACATTTCTGAGTTATAATTGACTAACGAAAATATCGTATGTTACAACATAATCTTATTGGGCATAATTAGCATAGTACCTGAATCCATCCATCCTGTTCACAGAAAAATCTACCAGTCATTCGTTGGAGGTAATGATGACAATGTCAAAATGCAGTTCAGGTTTCTAAATGATTACTCTCTAGTGTTTTACTTACCTTATCATAGATTAATAATAAATAGTTCACATATTCCCCTTTGAGTAGCTGTATGCTGTAGTGTTTAAAACTTCAACTTAAAGGAGAAATAAGAATGTGCAAATATTTGAAGCAGGCTACGTAGCCCATTTAAGAAACAGAAAAGTCTAGTGTGACTGTGAAACATAAAGATAGGTAAGAGGCTAGATAAGACAGATAAGAGGCTAGAAAAGAAAGCAAGAAACCTGAATGCTGTTTTATAGAAGAATTTAGATGTTCTCTATGTAACTTTCTGTCATTCTTTTTTCCCACCCTATTTATTATTTTATGGTTTGAATCTGACTAAATATTTTGAATTAAATCTGGTATGTTCTTTTAACTTTTATTTTTCAGAAGTTCATTTTTGAAATTTTGTTTTAGAAAAGCATTAGTCCATGAAAGATTTTTAAAAGGAAAAGGAAGGTCAAGTGATTCTTCCGTAGATCATTTAGGACTGTGGTGGTGAACCTGTGGCACACAGTGGGCCATGTTATCATTGAAAGCTCTAAGATATTTGCCATCACTGGTCTAGGAGATCTCTGTCATAATTCTTACAGTACTCTACACTGGTCTGATTGTACTGATTATATTGCCGTATTACAGTTGGTTGCATTTCTGTTAAACTGAAAGCTCTTTGGAGGGCAGTGTCTTGTGTTTGCTGTTAACACCTTCAATACCCAGAACGCCACCTGGTACAATTGTAAATAGGTCATCTTTTATAACTATATGTCTTTCAGAAATGCTAATTGTTTATTTAGGCTGAATCAAAAATATTCTTGGTATTTTTCTTGTAGAGTACTAGAATTTTTATAAAATATGTATCTTTATTCCTGTAGCACAACAACTGCCTCTGAAGATGATGTCTCAAATCGGTATCCCCGGACAGAAAGAAGTGGGTTTAGTAGATACAACAGAGATACAAATATTGCAAGTAATCTAGTCCCAAGTAACACATTGGAAAAGAAAATCGAAGATCTTGAAAAGGTATGATTATAAAGTACTTAAGATGATAAAATGAATATATAAGAATTCTTTTTTTCAGTTTAATAATAGCTGAGTAAAAATAAATATTGGTAGGGGAGGAATATTGCATATAAAAGGAAAAAAAGAGGGCTCAAATGCAACAGTGGTATTAATTGGTATTTCAGTTTTAGTCAAATAGCAGCTTTTAATCACTCGTATTTTTAGTTTATAGATACATAGTGACTAAATATTTTCTCATTAACTTAATATTTTTTTCTGTCCAGTTTTGGTGATGTTTAAAACTTTAGGAATGGAGCAAAATTTTGTATTCCTTAATATTTAATGGATATTCCTGTTCTGTTAAATGTTATCTCTATATGGAATGGTCTTTTCTCCTTGAAGTGTTCAGAAAGCTGAGCTGGCAATATATGCTAGTGTGTGTTTATTTTATTTTTTATTAATAGACTTTCCATTGATTCTCTTAGGTCTACATTTGGTGTTGAAACAATTTTATTTAAGTGTAAACTTGTTTAGAAGTATTGCTAACAAAATGAATATTATTCTCAAGTTTATTCCATAGATACTTAGCTTCTAAAATTGATAATGGCACTCAATTACTTTGTTAAGAATGTTTCGTTTTATCAAGTTGAAATTATTCCCTGTGGTATATAGTTTGTTTTAAGTAGAGGTTAATTTCAAAATCATTTATTTTTTACATTGTGATTATTTTTAGGTCACACCTAAGCTTTAACAGTCATTTCTCCTTGGAACCATTATTTTATGAGTATAAACTGAAAATTGTAGACAACACACAAATGGTTTTCAAGGGAGTTTTTGGCTTCTGTAGTTTCAGAAGAGCTAGGATTGAATTGCTAGTAGCTCACAGCTTTTTCTGAGGGCTAGTAGGAAAGAAGCCAAGTCCTGGCCTAGGCCTTTTCAGTTCTCTGTCTCTCTCTCTCTCTCTCTCTCTCTCTCTCTCTCTCTCTAACATTTCTTTTTTCTGTTTAAAGAATACTGTTGCCTTTGGAAGGAGTGACAGTGGGGGGATTGTTGCAGTGCTGAAGGTCAAACCCAGAGCCTTGTGAATGCTAGGCAAATACTAAAATGTTGAGCTACAATCCCAGCCTGTGTTGGATTACTTGGGGGAAAAAAAAGTTCAAATATCAGTAACTGATCTATTTTATTTATTTGTTTGTTTGTTTGTTTATTTTTCCTCATTCAGTTTATTGGTACATTTTAGGTATACAGTACAGTTACATTCATTATTGGCATCTTGTACCTTTACATGACAGGTCTTGGTTCTCATTTTTTCCCCTTGCCCCTGCCCTCCCTTTACCCCCCCCATCTTCCCCTTTTACAAACACTTTATTTCCATTTTTTTCATTTTCTCCTATTTTTTCTTTTCCCTTATTACCTTTCCCCTACCCTTCACACTTTCCCTACACCTTTAGCCCTTTTCTTCCTATTTCACATTGTCATTTATCTCATTAGGATTTTATGTACTATTACAGTTTATTCACACCAGAGAAACTATTCCGTATTTACACATGTGTGACTTATTTATTTCACTTAGGAGTATATCCTCCAATATGTATCCATTTTACTATGAATGAATCTAATTTCTCATTCTTTATAACTGATCTATTTTAGTTTCTCCTTTTATCATTTTTCAGTTAACTGACAGAGTCAGAAATAAAATTAAGGACTACTGTTTTTCTCTTTAGAGTTTTCCATTGAAAATGATACAGGGGGATAGATGTAACTTCCAAACCTGCTAGATATCCATAACGTGAGTTTGTGTTCTCTAAAATCAAGAATGAATGCTAGGAACAATGGAGGTTGAGAGTAGGAAAAATTTATTGAGAGAAAGATAAGCTTCTGTCCAAGAGAAACAGAAGGGAGACTGGAAAATGGGTTGCCAGTTCACCCAACTTCTCAAAGGTGTTTTATGGGACAAAGCCATGAGGTGAGGCGGGTTCAAGGTAGGACAAAGCTATAGTCCACTAGTAAGATTACAAGCACAGTCTCAGGTAATACTGATCCAATGAGAAATCACAAAGTGGACAAAACTATGATCAACCAATAAAATTACAAGTATAGTCGCTTAATTAATTTTGATTAAATGAGAATCCATGTGGAAACAAATCACATAGCAAGCATACAATGAACGACCAAGGATTTTTCTGTGATACGGAGTGGGTCAGGGGTCTTCCTTGGAAGATCTTGGTCCCCCACCCTGGTGATTGATACCTATTTAAAATCTCAGTCACTGCTCTTCATCCTGTGTTGGTGTGGTACTTTCTCTTCTTTTAAATGCTGGCCTTCAGTGGATGTGTCTGGATTGTCCTGCATATTGGCTCCATTGTCTTCCACATGGGCTTCTTTCGGGCTGGCCCTATCTAACTGCCTACAAGATACCTAATTAATTTACCTATCTTCAGTAAAACCACTGAATTACATCCCTAGCTCTTAAACTTTATACTTTTAGTGAATTTTCAAATTTCTTCTAAAGATATTACTCACTGTTTTAAAAAAAAAAACCTAGTTTATAACTTATAATGGTGATACAAATGAGGTAGGTTGTAGAATCTCTTTGCAGGAATATATTTTATAGCTCTTGTGTTTCCCTCATTCTCTAATTCATTACTGGTATGCCTTTTTTTTATCAAGTGTTGTCTTAAGACATTCATTAGAAATCTTCATAATGTCTAAGACAGTTTGTATGCTTTGTTTATTTGTTTGTTTGTTTCTCCTGAGACAAAGTCTGCTATGTCACCTAGGCCAGCCTCAGGTGATATTGCTGCCTCGTGCTCCCCCAATAGCCGGGACCACAGGTGTGTGCTTTACTTTGCCTGTGCGAGACGTCTTTTTAAAGGAAAGGAAAATGAAAATCTTAAAATTTGCCTTTTCCTTTCTAACTTATATTTTAAATTTTGTTATTTAAAAAATTATATAAAGTCTTCATTCTGGCAGTGATGCTTTCAATGTCAAATACAGATTAAAGGACCTTTGCCAATTATATTAGGTACTTTAGCAATGTTTGAAATTTGTCATTTTTAACTATAAATGTATACCATGTAAGAAGATTATAAACAACCAATTACTTCCCAAGTAATGCCTTTTAATTATATTTATCAGGAAGTTGTAAGAGAAAGACAAGAAAACCTAAGACTTGTGAGACTGATGCAAGATAAAGAGGAAATCATTGGAAAACTCAAAGAAGAAATTGATTTGTTGAGCAGAGTAAGTATTTCACTTATTTCAGTTCTGAAGCTTCCTTTTTGGAGGCAATTGGATGAAAACACAATATGAAAAAATTATTTAATTGCATTTTTCATTGTTAGTGAGAGTTGTGGTGAGAACTATTTCATTCTGTAAATTCATTTCTTAGAGGCAGTGATCAGTTTAAAATACAATTTTACTCATTTGAAGGTGGGCTGCTGAATGAATTTATTGAGAATCTGGAAGTGTAAGGGGATGGACACAAAATTGCATCAGTGAAGAATTGGTACTTTGTCACTCAAAGGAACTCGTTATTTTTTATATGTTTTTACCACTTTTTTTTTTCCTTCTATTGTACTCAGTGCATTTTCAACTTAAGGTCTAGGTCCTAAGCTCTCTATGATTCTTTTCTGTGTAGCTTTTTTTATTTTTGTTTTTAGCCCCAGAATTTATTTGCTGCTTAAAACACAGGTCATAGGTAATGGTAATGAGGAAAGATCCCATAATTTTGCTTTTTAGAGGGCGTTACATAAAGTGAAAGGAAGAAATAAATTTGCTTCAGTGATAAAATAAGCAAATTCCCCCCAATCAAAGCTTACCTTTAAACTTGAAAGAAGAAAAGATAAAAAGACTTCTTTATATGCAGACCTATTCCAATCAAGATTTAAGATAAGTCAGGAATTAGCATAAGCCTCTGACACTAGCAGTCTGGGAGACTGAGGCAGGAGAACCACAAATTTGAGCCCCATCTTAGCAAGACCCAAGATAAAAATAATCAAAAGGGTTCAAAGGGTTGGGGCTAGCTCATTGTGCAGGTCCTGGGTTTAATACACACACACACACACACACACACACCCACCCACCAACGGCCTTTAATACTAGTTCAACACAGGTTCCTCTATTTGTGTTGGAATTCATTTTAAGAAATTCTGCAATAAATTTTATCCGTAATGTATTTTTATTATGAGAACTAAACAGAATAATAAAATCCCTTCTAGTAATGATCCATGATTGTATTTTATCACTTAATTTTAAACTTTAGATAAATCTCAGTTGTAATTTCAGGAAATCCCCTCTTTTTATAGTTGTTGTTTCAGCAGATTAATTCCTAACATCATTAATTTAGTTTGTAAATGCAAATTCTGAGTTTTTATGAACTTGTAAATCATTTGCATAATTGTCTTGAGGTAGTATACTAAATTTATCAGATTGCTTTTAGCTTACAGCACATTTGTGATTCAAATTGATTGTCTCAAGTTTTAGTATTGTGAACTACAAGGATAAACCTGTAAATATCTGCTTTTGTAAGAATTAGTACATAGTCTGCCTTGAAATACTGTCTCTTGTAATTAAAACTTATAGTGAGTCTGGGAATTTGGCTCACTGGTTCTACCGCCTGCTTTGCAAGTACGAGGACCCAAGTTTGATCCCCGGTACCAAAAAATAAATAAATGAAAATAAAACTTACAGTGGATTGTTTTAGTATTAACTGTATAGTTACATATTTGAGGCTAGAATTAATACAGGGAAAATAGAGCTAATTTATATTTTAGAGCTGGAGAATGAATGCAAGCTTTAATGACTTCCAGTTTTTATTTTTTTAGCTTTAAAATGTTTTCCTCAAAATACTATGAAGAAGCTTAACATATACTTTTAACTACATCAGTTCTGTGTATCATAGATACCCTTTTGTATATGACTCAGTTCTTTCATCTTCTCAGTCTCATCCCCAGATGTATTCTTTTGAGAAAAATGGAAAGATTCACAATTTTCAAATTATGGTTTCTAGCTTTTCTTGAAAAGCTGAAAGATCAGACAAGAATTGTCCTATATGCTTGTGATAACAAAGAGTCAAATAATGGCTGTTCACTTTAGGTGGAATATACTCCATCTAAAGTTATTTCCAGAACTTATACTCATTTCAAAATTAAGTAAGTGAGTTTTCTTTTGAATGTGTGTTTTTTTAAAGTCTTTTATCTCCTTGAGACTATTTTCCTTTTTTCCTCTCTTTAAGGACCTAGATGACATAGAAGATGAAAATGAACAGCTAAAGCAGGAAAATAAAACTCTTTTGAAAGTTGTTGGGCAACTGACAAGGTAGAAGATTGAAGACCCAGTGTGGAAAAAAAAAAATTAAAACTACTGATTGAGTGTTATGGTTATTGCTAGGATAATTTCCTATGCTGCAGTACATTAAAATAACTGTATATTTATTTATAGGAAAAGGATGGTGTTTATTTTCAAAATATTTGTTTTTCATTATTTGAGAAAGTTTCATCTTTTTATTTCACAAATAACAAATTTTAGTTATTAAAATGATAGGTAATGCCTCTTTGGTTTTGTGTGATGTTTGAATAATATATGGTTTAAAGTCACAACTGTTTGAGTATATTTTATCTGTGTTAATGCATTTTTCTCCCTAAAAGAATATCCATAGTCTTTGTTTACATGAATTTAAATACTTTGGTGGAATACCTACAAATGCCTTATTACTGATGTGTGCAACTTATGTATTTGAAGACTTACTCATAAAGGTCTGTGTCTACTGTCATTTGTTCTTTCCACTTATTCTAAGTGATTTATAGTAATAATAATCGTACTATTTTGTACCACAGTAATCTTTTAAAGGAAAGCTATTATAAAAAGTTACTTAATAGCATGTTCTAGCTGGCTAAGTATAAATTTAAGCAAATACTTGAATTGTGCTATAGTAAATGAAAATTTACTGTTGTGTTTGAATACTGAAAAATTTTTTAATTACTCTAACTTTTGCAGAACATACATACATGCTGGGGATTTAGCTCAGTGGTTCTGCCGCCTGTCCCACAAGCGCAAGGTCCAGAGTTTAATCCCCAGTACAAAAAATAAAAAATAACAAAAATTTTGTAATTTTAATGTATAATTGCTTATGTAGGTACTACCTTTTTATTTTTCTAAAATTTATTAGCAGATATGAAATATTTAAATTTTATTCTTTAGGCCTTGAAAGTAGTACAATTTCAGTGAGTAAGAAAAAAATCCATCTTTATGTGATCATATGCATTAAAATCTGAACCAAAATATTTACTCACACTTTAAACATTTATATGTATATATTAACAAAGCAGTATGTAAGCAAAAGTAGTACTGAGATAACATTGCCTAATTTCTAAATTGGAGAAACACTGTGACACAGTTGTTCTCATATGAGAGAATATCCGAATATCCCCGTATCCCAATTTTAAGGGATTTCTTCTAACACTGAACCTTTAAAAAAAATGATTTTTGAAGAATTATTAAAGTGTCCTCTTCTATTAAATATCCTTAGTACTTAGGGTTGTTTCATATTACATTTTCCTGTTGAATAGGAACCCAACCCCTCCCTTGATATTAAATTAAGAAATATCTGCCTGGTAGTAAATCTTAGCAATAGTGATATAAATGTGTGGGTCAGTGTGTGGGAATGGCCAGACCATAGTAAAATCCATTTTTAGTACCCTCCTGACTCTTATCTTTACTTGCAAAGCTCATTCATTCATTCACTGTCAGAAAAATATGTAAGATAAGACAAGCAAGGGAAAATATGGAGTGGTGCTGATATCAGATATTAAATTCTAGAAATCTCTGCATTCACCACCTCAGAAGTTTCAAAACTGGCAGGTCATCAGAATCATTTGAGGAACTTGAATCCCTGGCAATAGCTGCTGAATAGGTTAATTGGGAACCTAGACACAAGAATTTTTAAAGATCATCATTTTTAAAGTTTAATTCCAATCATATAATTTAGTTTTGGAATCAGCTAGTTTTGTATCTTTACTCTTGTATTTTCTCATGAAGGTCCTAGAATTGACAATTTTAGCTACTCCATTTTCCCCCTTTAGTTTAATAATTAACCTCATCTCTGGAGCAGTTTTTCTGTATCTCACAAAATGCTTAGTATTAGATTACAGAATTACTGCATATGGGCTTTCCTCTCTGAGACTTTACCCAGAACAGTAACAGTGAACTGCTGCCCACAAAGCGAGGTCTATGCCAGGCTCATCACCTTGGCTGTAAGGGATTCATCTCATTTTAGTCATCCTTGTGTATATTTGGCAGAAATGTCCTATTACTTGCTTCCTCCTTTACCCTTTGTATGTTTGAAAATGCTGTCAACCTCCAATCTTAAAATATATTAGTGTATTTTTTCAGTAAAAGAATTACTTTGAATTTCCTGTTTAATTCATATGTAGATAAAAGAATGTTTTACTTTTAAAAATTATGTCTGTTATGAACACTTGTAAAGACTGAGTTGTTTTATAATTCTTTCCCTTTCTTTGATTTATTGAGAATATTTCCAGTAGTGATTTTGCTTTTTAATACAGTGATATTAATAGCAAATACAGGAGCTTGACAATTTAAGGAAAGCATTTATATCAGTCTCCCACACCTCCTTAAAACATGCAGATTTTTTTCTTTTACATACAGATTTTTTTTCACTATTGAAAAATGAAGTATCATCTGCTATAATTTCCCCTTAAAGTTTATTGAAAATAGATTTTTAAAAGATAACACCCTAGAAAATTTAGATATTTCCAGTAAAGTACAAGTGTTTGTGACATTTAATCCTATTAAGAAATGCTGTTCTTATATCTCAAGGGAATTTGTGACATAATAAAACACATCCACAGTTGTATTCATGACATTTAAAATTATGTTTACAATGAACATGACTTGCCTCCCCATTCTGATATGGATTATATTGAAAATTACTGTAGTATTCTTTATTTCATTTTTTCTAGTATTGTTAATCTGTTGTAATATAGTTATTAGAAAGGAAGAGAACATATTTGGGATGTGTATTTTTAAGTAATCTGAGGAATATACCAAATCATGTTAGATTAGTACTGTCACAATATTGAAGTAGTTTAAAATGCAGAAAAGTATCAAGCAGGTACATGAAACAGTTTTTCTTCCTTCATAAATTTAAATTTTTAAAATTATGGTAGAAGCAATATATTTTTAACATGAAAAACCTACCTCAGTTATATGTGGTTTGTGTTTTCTGGAGTAATATGGATTTTTATAATTAGAAATTAATATGTAAAAATTTGAGTCCACTTTTAATTTTTTAAAGCAGTGTGAATCAGTGTAATAGAACCATCCATATGCTCAATCCCATAAGACAAAACAGTAAAGACCTTGGACCTGATAAATGATCTGATGCGCTAAATAATCTTCACATGTACAATGGTAGTCATTTTTCTTAGTTAAGTTTTATAATTGTGAATTAGTGACTAGTAAGTTGCATGTAGTATTGGCAGTTATTCATGTTTTTGTTAAATTTTTCCAAGAGTGAGGCATATATTTTCATTCTTTCATTTGTCTTCTTATGCGGAACCAAACACAACAGACTTTCATTAGAAGAAATACATTAAATGAGAGAGATTGGCATTCAAGAATCAGAACTTTCGTAAGTTGAAACTAATGTTAAATATTTTCATATTATATGTGTACCAATCCTAATATATGCAACAATAAAGCTTGACTTCTTTTGCATTAGAACTATGCTTATGGAGGACATCCCATTGATGATGAATCTTAAGTTACTTATCTCAGAACTAGTATTTTCTTCCATTAAACTTACCCACATAACATAGAAAGGCACCTCCTTCCTATACTGTTCAGTTTCTTTTGATGTGTAAGGGTGGGTTAATGCTCAGTTTAAAAACTTGAACCTTATGTAAGAAAACCTGAGCCCATATTGTTTTCTATTTTTCTTATCTAAATCTCATAGGATATTAAATTCATACCCTTATCCCCATATAATTATATGTATGTGACTGTGTATATGGGGGTTATATTAAATTTTCATACCTTATTTCAACAAATATTTATTAATCATGTGGATATACTGTTATAGGTATTACAGAAGTCTTGAATAAATGGACATGAACCAGAGCTTTTATTTAGCAGGGTATCAGTAATACAAAATGTAGCAGTAGTCATTAGCCTGCCTACTTTGAATAATTCTCTCAAAAGTACTTTTTTTTAATTGATTATCCAGCCAAAGTATTTTAGATCTAATTAATAGGTACTGTTTAGTTTGCTGCAACATTTACTGAACAATGGAAGGGAGGAATGATGTTTTTTAGGAAACACCATATTTTAAAAATAATTATGCATTAGGAAAAGGACATTATTAAGGAATTTATAGCAGTAGTGAAGTAAAAAGAATTCAGTGTATGTTAGATGCACTAAGCTGTTCATGATTTCTGTATGTGTTTCAAATTAGTATTCCTGTATACATTATTAATTACTGGTTTTTGTGTTGTTTTGTTGGTATTTAAGCCTCCTCTAATCTGAAGTTTATGTACTGACAGTTTCTCTGGTAGTAATACCATGTTAATGATGATTACTTGATGGACATTGATTTAAATACCTATGTTTTGTTTCCCCCTCTGGATACCTAATAAGGTGTATGTTACATTTTGGTGAACTTTTTTCTTTCTGGTGAACGTTTGGCTATGTTATGTGGAGTTTTTACTTCCATGGGTTTTGTTTTTCTAAATTTAAGAAGTAGCTATTACATCAGCAAGACCATAGGAGAGGTAAAATACTGTTTTGTTGAAAAATCAGCTCAATCAGATAATGCAAATATTGTGGAAAAACACCTGGATAATTTATTGAACTCATTAGTATTATATGGACAGCTTTGGTCATTCCTGTGGCCTGGGTTTTTGTTGTGGAATAGTCAACTTCATATGGATTCACTTTTAATATGCTTGGCATGTAAGAAATAAACACTTAATAAAAAGTAAGTTTTCATTACTGTTGGTTTTTTTTCCCTTGTACTATTGGTGAAATCTGCTTCATGAATTTTACTTCTGATGTTAAATGATAATGATTATCTAATTGGCTTATGTGCCTCATTGAAACAATATGTAGCACTTTTAAAATCTTTATTTGGTATGTTATTTTGAAAGGAATAATATTTTAAGACACAATAATAAAGTATTATGGTCTGAATACACTAATGGTGGGCCTTCTTGAATAATTAAAGTACTACACACATGGTTCAACCAGACTGAAACTTTTGATTGTCTTTTTTTTTTAAACTATACAAATAATTTCTTCATTCAAAGTTGGAACTATTAATACTTATATCTCGTGGTGTTTAAAGGATCCTTCATAGTTTCTAAAAGATAACCAGAGGTCTAGGAATATAAAAAATACATGTTTTTAAGCAAATGACTTACATAATCT